AAATTCAGGCCAGCCCATTTTATGAGAATGATGCTTTGCCTAGCTAAGTTTCCTCTGCCTCTGAGAATTTTGGGCAATTATCTGCTATTGCAGTGTGCATGTCCCATCTCAAGCTATTCAAGAGGGGTTTCTGGTCTTCCATAGAGAGTGTTAAGATGCACATATGGTTGTTGGAGAGAAGCCAGAGAAGTGTCTTTGTTCTCAGATTCAAACCAATAATTATTATAAATATATATGCCCCCTTTCTCTGAAAAGTGGACCATGACAGCATGCAACAGCTGATAAAAATAAAGCAATAAAATTAAAAATTCAATATTAGATCATATTTGAATTTAATGCTAAAATGCTAGGTTGGACGATCACCTGAATAAGAAAGAAATTTAGTTGTCTTATATTAAAGTGTCTAACATATGTAGCCCATGGGTGGGACTACATGTTATATAAAGAAGAGTAACATAAGCTGCTTGGAGCTAAGTAAGTCCCAGTGTGAAATCTGGTTGGCTGACTTGCACAAAAGTAAGCCCATCCTGACACATTAACCCCTAGTGAAGATTTTGACTTGCTAATTGTGATCCAACAAAGGATTTCATTTGTTTTCAGGAAATGATATAGATTCAGCTAAGTAGCAGCTGCAGTGATGAAAGGAGGGGCCCTTAAGTTCAGTTGCTCATCCACCTGTGGCTCTGCCCTCTTGCTACATACCATTCAACTTTCATAGCTGCTAATTTGTGACATCTGTGAGCAAAGCATGACAAATGACTGAAATGAGATATGTTGTTGATTTACATTATGATTAACAAATTATCATGTTTTTTGAGATGTCATGTAAAAGGTATCAGCTCTCTGTGTGAATTGCATCAAAGCATGGGATCTTCCAGTACAAAATAACAGAAGGGTTTGAATTTTGGATTAGATTTGGATCTGCAGTGGAAAAGAATGACTGTTGGGAAGATGCAGAGGGTGACCTGACACAACTTACTGGCACTGGACACAAATATGGGGCTGCATTTTTGGTAGTCACTCAAAATATGCTGTTGTCATGACCCTGATTATACCCTGGAGAGCAGGGTCTTGTGTTGTCCTTATGAGCTTATGGTGCATTTTGGTATTTGTACCTCTGAAATGCAGCATGAAGTCAGGTACAAATATTGGCTTCAAGCTCAGGCAGTGGGCTAGAGCCAATCTCTCACCAGTTGTGCTTCTGAGATACTGCCAGCACTTCAAATGTATGGTGCAGCATGGAAGACTCCAGACCTCCTTTTGTCAGGAACTGGGGTTCCTGCTCTGTACAGTCAAAAACTACAGACCATTTTCCTTGCAAAGCATTCTTTATTTACCCAAATGCGCAAAACACATGCATGCACAGAGTGGTTTGCTGAACCCAATCTAGTAATCACCTCCGGGAACACTCCTTATGAGCATGCTTTTGTCACATCCCTTTGGGAGGGGCCTTCTGAAAGCAAGCACACCTCCTCTCTGTGGACAGTTCCTCTAATTGGGCTGCTCTTCTCTGCTGGTGATGTGCCATGGTATCATGACCCATGCTAGCCACACCTAGAGTCTGAGAAATCCTCCTGCTCCAAGTCCTCTCCCGCCAACTGTACATCTTGGTTATTCCAAGACTGCCTTCTTGCCTGGGGAGTCTGGGGTTGATAAAAGCATTTTAGTGTCTCAGCTTCTCAGGCTTCCCCAGTTCTGCTTCACATTCCGATTCCTCTGAAGTCCAGCCAGTAGTCCTTGAGAACGGACACCCGAAGCAGCCATCTTTCCTACTCCCAACACCTTTTACACTTCAATCCAGTGATTCACTGGGTGGAAATCATCCCTGGGGATGTGCTTTATGTTTAGGATAACTCAAGAGCACCTTGGAAGAATAAAGTGAGATAACTAAGATCACTGTCCCTCTTTAGATCACTTTTGAGTAGTTTAGCTCCCACGGCAGCTATCTTGTAACGGACCACACCCTCTATGGGAGTCATTTTGTGATGGTGCCACAGCCGTTTCTCAAATTCCCAAATGAGCCCACGTGTTCAAAAAGTTTGGGCTCCCTGCTTTAAAACAAGGAGATTGGGGTTAGGTTTGCATTCATTATCAAATCAGGTTAGCTTGCTAGTTGATCAATTTTAAGTCTCCCTAAAGTTTGAGTATGAAAACACAGAGCTACTTTTGGAATGGTGATATGAGATTATTTTTAATGTGGCCCTCAGAGTGGTTTAGTATTGTTTTTATTTTCCCAAAGTAATGCTCAGTGATGTGTGTGCTGAAAATAGTAATTTCATCATTTCAGAAATATTTGAATGATTTAAATTCAATAGCAAAACCACCACTATAAAGAGCTTTTACTACTACCATTTTTGGCATTTCATGGGAATATTCTGCAGCATGACTGTGACGCCATTTCAGGCAATGATACATAGGCTTAAATATATAGAGTTTAAAGAGGGTTTTATTTTAGTACATTTCATGAGATGTTGAGGTTTTCTGAGTTAACAGCAGTTTGACATTCCTCCTGTCCTTGAAGGATCATTTTATTTTTATGGTGCCCTACTATGTTGTCAGTCAGACCATTATAAAAATTCAGTATTTCAATTTGCAATATTAGTGTAAACTGCTTGGATATGGAATAATGAGAAGTAATTTCTTTTGTTAGTATTTTCTATTAATGACCCTTTTGTTACTAGTGTAGTCAGAATTTGTTGCTTCATGGGAACAGTGCTGTAGGGTTATTTAGTGTCAATTAACTTTTCTGAATGGAACAATTTTTTCCTATCTCAGCTTGTCACTTGATTTTACATTTTACTGTGGAGTTCACTAGAAAAAGTTGATCATATGGACAACAGATATTTTATGTTACGAAGTATGTACATGTTTATATCCAAAGATCATGTAGAACAAGTTCAATTTTCTCCATGGCATGCGCAGGTTCTTCTGCCCTGCCCAAAAACTCACATGGAAGGTCCTCAGTATTCTGAAGCCACTTTTCAGGAAGGAGGAGTTGATTTGAGTTATGTATCCCACCTGCACCCCTTTCTTATGAGCAGAAATGGAATTCAGTTTCTCCAATAATTGTGGATTAATTAGCATGAATTTGTATCACTGTGATAAAGTGAGTAGAAGTTTGGAATCTGAGTGGGATGCTGTGAATCAGTGTCCTGCAACAGCAGGGGGTTGGACCCAGTGGCCTTCATGGTCCCTTTCAGCTCTTCTATGATGCTATGAAGTTTGAATCCTATAGACCAGAGTTCAGGCCCTCTGGCAAGGTAATTGTGGCCTTTGAAAAGGAAATGGAGGTCTCTTTCTGCATTCATTATTTGCTTAAAGGGAACTATATTAATGTTTTTACACATGGTAGATGTGAGGACTAGCACTAAAGCATTCTAAATTAACTGTAATGTTAAAGTGCTATAAATTTGTAGCAAACGTGATTCAGTAATTGTCAGAACTAGTGCTGTATAATTTTGTTAGGATATGTGATACGGAATCTGTATTGTATTTAGGGCTCTGTCCTATAGCTGGTAGACACTGTTCAGATGGCCATTGGAAAATTTGGAGCCCCAGCTTCAGCCTTGGAATAGTACTCTAAGGTGAGAGTTGAGTCTGTTTTCAGAGTGCCATCTCTGCATTCTTGCAGCTGGCGCTGGGTGTTGGACCAGCTCCTCTCCTCTCCTCCCTAGCCCCTATGAAAGGGTAAGCAGGGGTAAAAGATTTAGATGGTCAAATGTGGCTGTATTTTGGAACTTGAGGGAAGCATGGAAACCATTTTTACTTCCACACCTCTCCCACTTTCCATTGGATGCCCATAATCCTTCAAGTCTGAAGGGTTTTAGGCAGCCACATTAGATGGCACTGCCTGTTGAGAGATTATAGTTCCTGTTCTGGCATTCTGGTTTGTTTGCTTTTTTGAAAAATATGCATTTCCATGTGCTGCACATATATTATAACAGTACTGCAGAGAATTGAGCTGAGGAGGTGAAAGTTCTTCATGAATTGAAAAGATGATTATTGCATGAATATTGTTCATGGGAAACGCTTATTGTGAGGCTATATCATTTTCATAGTAATTTTTAATATAGACAGAATGCTGCTGTTCACAGCTGGAAAAAATGTCAATAAACCCAAATAGTTGTAGGGGTAGGGCAAGCTACAGATTAAAGATTTGTGAGCTAACCTTCTGGCTCCCTGATGTATTGAAAGTATATATATATTTTTAAAAAAAACTTTGCTTTCTTTTTCGAATTAATTTTAGCTTTTCTTTATAGAGTCCCACTGTACACTTACTGTTGAGTTACCATCAGCTTCCTGTGTCTGTGACTGATGTTGTGGGACAAATGAATAAAGTTAGTGCCAGATACATGCTCCTTTAGCACAAAGGAAACCTTGCATAGACTTACTGTGGAATAAGGGAAAGACCCTCTGTGTGTGTGCTGTGTAAACAAAGCATAAATTAGGTATGGCTCAAACAGTGAACACCTCAAATTGTCATGGATGATGTGACAGGATAACACTTCATATGCCAATTCTGTTGCACATAACTAGCATACTAAAAGAAAAAGAGGGCTTAATGAAAATACAGGACTGCCTTAGGTAGCAAGAAAAGAAAGTGTCTTTAAAATGATGTACATAGCATTATTAATGACATTTCTATACCACCAATTCCCAAGGTGCTCTGGGTTGTTAAAACTATAAAAAAAGCATACTGATAAATCAGTTGTAATAAATGCATTATTACAATAATAAAAATGCAGACAGTTCATTTCATTAATACTGGCATTGTAACATTTCAAATTAGTTAACAGAGCAGACAAGATGAATAATTGCAGCATAATAGCAATTTTTATTTATCTGTAATGTATAAGCTAGGACCTAGTACACTAACTAAACATCTCCTATGCATTGAGGTGTTAATAAACAATACAATCTGAAAAAAAATTACATAAGGGTGTAATCAAATAATTATTCTGTGTGGTGTATTGAGTGACCAAATACCTTTCTATTTGCAGAGCACCAGAAATCATATTGGGTTTGCCTTTTTGTGAAGCCATAGATATGTGGTCACTGGGCTGTGTGATTGCTGAACTATTCCTTGGATGGCCATTGTATCCAGGAGCCCTCGAGTATGATCAGGTAATAGAAATGGTCAACTGGTGATTTGAGATAATGTGGGCTGGATCTAACTCATATCCATCTTCTCCACTACAGCCCCCTGCACATGCCACATTCTGTCAGCAGTTCTCTCCCTTTAATGTAACAACAGCATTGGGTATCACCCTTTGTTTTACCTTTCTAAATCTGCAGTTTGGTCCATTGGGCATTTAAATTCCTTTGCTCTTAACATATGGTTTTAAATGTATAAAGTGACTGTATACCTACCATCAATCAAAGATACCATATTAAATGTTCTAACAACCCCCTTCAGAGTTAACATTCATAATGTGATTTGTTTGAGATGGGGAATAAATGAGCTTCAGTCTTAATTTCTTTCTATAGTGGACATTTTTGTATGGATGGACACTAGGAAACACTTCAGCAATTCATTAAAAAAACTATTCTTCAGCTATCCATTAAAAAACAAGTATGTTTAACTGTTAAGTACTCCTGTATTATATCTCCACACATAGGTAAGCAAGCTTTCAACAAGCTTTAACTGTAAGTGAAATGGAATATTCATGCCAAATTCAATATTGAGTTTTCCTGAATTTGCATTGTGCAAATACACACATGACTTATGTCATATTTGCACATTTTTCAGTAGTACTTGTTCAACTTAAGTAGGTTGTTTCCACAAATGAAGTATACAACACATCTCTAGGAACATGCCATAATACACTATGTATGGCTCCCATGGGGTTTTGCTGTGACTGTCTGAGGAGAGGAAAATTTGCATTTGAAAACAATAGAATGCTGGCTTGGCCTCTAAAAATGTTAAATCTACAATGTATTAATGAACATTAAGGCATGTGTCTTTTATCTCTCCAGATTCGTTACATCTCACAAACCCAAGGATTGCCTGCAGAGCAGTTGTTGAACCTTGGAACTAAGACCACACGATTTTTCTGTAAAGAAACAGATGCACTATATTCTGGTTGGAGACTAAAGGTAATAAGAATCCTCAAAAAAGATAGGGAGTTCCTGTGCTCCATAGAATACCTGCTCCATGCTTACCTTCCACAGCTTGTATGCCTTGAGGGAGGAATACTGCTGAGTTGAAGTGTGTGTCGGGGGGCATATTTTGTAAACAGTTGCTAAGGTTCCTTGTCAGAACCACCCACCCTGGAAATAAGCCACGGTGGGTTGGCTGTTTTGCAGAATGCCCACAGTGACTCGGACATGCTATCTCCCTTTTGTCATTTTCTCATTCCTTCCAGTGGTATCTCAGGGGACACCACAAAGAATCTGACAGCCAAGATTGGGAGCAGTTGTTAGAGTCCCCATAGCAGCAGGCAGCCTGCTGCATGTTGTCTTAGCTGAAGCCAGAAACTGACCCTGTTGCAGTTCAGGGCACAACCCTACTTGCACTATTGGGACAAAGAAGAGTAACAGTTGAAGCATTCTTCTTTGTTCTCTTAGTGCAAACAAGACTCACGACCTGAAGTGCAATGTGGGGGGAGGGGGAGGGATGGGGGAGGTGATCAGGCATTCCTCCCTCCTGCTCCAGAGAGAGGAGGAGGCAGGGGTTCCTGATCTGCCTGGTGGTGGCACCTGGAGAATGGGACAGTGCCAATGAGTGGATTGTTCCTGAGAGGTCTACTCTCAGGCAGTAGGCAGGGATGCCCAGTCTTCTGTGCAACAGTGATCGGCATTAGGGCAGTGCCACTGAGTGAGACTCTCTTGGTGGAGTGAGCATCTCCTTGGCAAAGAGGAACAGGTCTTGCTTATCCTTGCCAAAACCTCAGGAACAGACCTGCAAGCAAGGATGTTAATTCTTTGCTACTGTGGTAGGGGAGAACTTCTGACAGCAGCCTCCAAGTGCTGCTTGGGCACCCTGGAGGCTACTGTCAACAGGGCTGGGTAGCCACTTGCCAAGAGCAGCAAGGGATTTTTGCTTCATTTGCCAGTTGACTCTCTGGCTGTTAGGGCTTGCTTATGGTGGATCATGTTGTCTGAAGCAGGCCATAATCTCTAGTCGGTGAAAAATTCTTTTTTCTTGATGACAGGCTGAGAATTAATTACCTTGGTAGAGGAATTGCTTCAGAGAATGAGCATGCTTTGCATCATTGGGATCACTCTCCCTGCATCCACTTGTTGCTTGGTCCAGATACAAGCAGCATTCAATGGCAGTGCTTCACAGTATCAAGAAAGTGTGGTTTCAGTGCCCTTCATTTCATTCAACATATCTGTTGCGCATTTGTTCTATGATACATGTGCTGGGTGGTGCACTGATTAGAGTATTGGACTGAGACTCAGCCATGAAGCTAAACTGGGTGGCTTTGAATCACTTAACCTACCTCTCAGATCACTGGGCAAATAAAATGAACATTTTCCCATTGGTCACCATGGAAGGAAAGTCGTGAATAAATGAATAAATATTTAAACATAGCCAGCTCTGCCACGCAATGATGTCACTGTTATTTTAGCGGAGGAGCTATATTTCAAAGTGGAGCTCAAGCTGATCAGTGTTTCTGAACCAGTAGCAAACTGTCAGGAAAATATCAGGTTTTTTGGGTGTGGTGCTTTTCTAGGAAATGTTCTGCCCCATCAACATTGTGATGCTGCCCCAAGGCTTCAGTGAATGGGGCAGCATAGAAGCTTTCTCAATAAATAAATAATCAACAATCAACAACCCCACTTTTGCATCAAAAATGTTCCTTGTTTGGATCAACTCTAGAAATGAAGGGAAATGGAGAGAACTGATGAGCACATAGCTTCCAAGGAAAATAGCAGTATGCAACTAACAGACAGTTATGCTTTTATTTGGTATATATTTTTAACTTCGTGTAACTTGTTTCAGGATTTTAAATTAATGTTCTAAAATAAAAATAAATAAAATGTGATTAACACTGGTATGAAAAATGGATTGCAGAGTACAGGACATACTGCAGACTCGTTCTTCTTGACTGGGTGTGAAGGCGGTGTTCTCAGTTTAGGGGAGTTGGACTCAGTTCCTTTGTTACTGTCAGATCACTGCCTACTGAGGTTTAGACTGATGGCAGCCTTTCCCTTCCACAAGGGGAAGGATGATCTGCCCCTGGAGGTGAATGGATTGGGATGGTTTCCAGAGGGCTTTGGGAAGTTTTCTGGCTGACATGGCTGGTGCTCCTGTTAAAGCCCTGGTTGCTCTGTGGAATACAGAAATGGCCCAGAGAGTTGACATGATTGCTCTTAAGCACCCTCTCTGTTGTAGAGCTTGTATGGCTCCATGGTACCTCCTGGAGCTGAGGGCAAAGAAACTACTTAGGAGAAATCTGGAGTGCAGGTGGAGATAAACAATGAGTGTAACAGAAACCTGGTATGTTCCCACAGTTGGGTATATTTTGAGGCAGTGAGGGGAGCCAAGAAAAAATCCCTTACTACCCCCATCCAAAGTTTTCTTTGTTGCCCGGTGGAGCTTTTAAAGCTGTCTAGCATTCTGGTCCCAGGGACACTTTAGAACCATCTCAGGCCTGCCGCAATTTATTCGCTGGGCACTTCTAGGAAAAAAGGCCTTTACATTTGCCAGAACTTGGACTCCAGAGTTACAGCAGTTGACTCTTTGGAGATATCCAGAACACAGCCATGTCCACTTTTATTGAATGAGTTTCAGTTGGTACAGCTTGAGGAGGTGGCTTAAGTACTTGAACAGTTTCTTGCAACCTCCTCCATACTGAATCCTTGCTCCTTCTGGCTTATGAGAGAGTGGTTCCATTCTTCCTAAAAGAGGTGGTAGTGAGACCACTTTTGAAGAAGCCCATCCTTGACCAGGAAGATCTGAACAATTCCAGGCCAATAGCAAATATTCCTTCCTTGGGGAAAGTTCTAGAAAGTGTGGTTGCCAATCAACCCCAGGCACTCTTCGTTGAGACTGATTATCAGGATTTATTTCCAAGATGGTTCAGGCCTGGTTTTGGGATGGAAACAGCCTTAGTTCTTCTTCATGTTCTCTGTGCATCACACATATGAGTGCTGTGCCTGTGCAGCACCAATGTTCAGAAAGATTTCTCTAGCTAAGCCAAGAAATGTTGGTGGGACCCCTGCCCCCCTTCCTGTCTCCATTTGGACTGAGAAAATGGTCAAAGCCTGCCTATTTATATAATGCGGAAGTGGAGCAAGGCTCCTGCAAAAGTTTCTAGTCTTAGCAAGAGGAATCTTCCCAAACATATGTACTGTGCAGGCGCAGCACCTATATGCGTGATACACAGATGACCACTCAAAGAAAGACAGTTACAGGTAGGCAACCTGACTTTGCCCTGTATGATGACCTATGCCTGGAGAGAGGCAGGGGGAGTGTGACCTTGATCCTGCTGGACCACTCAGAGGCTTTCAGTATCATCAATCGTGATATCCTTCTGGAGGGACTGTCTGAGTTGGAAGTGGGGGGCACTGCACTGCAGTCGTCCCGGTCCTACTTGGAGGATCATCTCCAGAAGGTAGTGCTCAGGGAATAGTGTTCAGCCCCTTGGATTCTCCAATATGGAGTTCCTCAGTGGTCTGTTCTGTTCCGCATGCTGTTTATCATCTGCATGAAACTGCTGAGTGGGGTCATCTGGAGTTTTGGAGTGCTCTGCCATCAATATGCTGATCGCATGCAATTTTATTTCTTCTTTTCATCATTGGCAGTGAGACTGTGGATGTGCTAAATCAGTGCCTGGCTGTGACAATGGACTGGATGAGGGCTAACAAATGGAAGCTCTAGTGAGACTGAGATGCTGTTAGTGGGTTCATCCGACTGGATGGAGGGAGTTCAACCTGTTCTTGATGGGGTTGCACTCCCCCTGACGGTGCAGGTTTGTAGTTTGGGGGGGCAGGGCTCCTTGAGTCATCTTTGTCACTTGAGGCTTAGTTGGCATCAGTGGGTCAGAATGCCTTCTACCTGTTTTGGCTGGTGGCATAGCTGTACCCTTACATTGACAGGTATAACCTGGCTTCAGTAATGTGTGTTCTGGTAATCTGGTAAATTAGATTACTGCAACACACTGTCAGGCTGCTCCTGAAGACTGCAGCTGATGCAGAATGCAGCAGGCTGATTAATTACTGGGGCTCATAGGCCCGAACATATAATACCAGTTCTGGCCCACCTGCATTGGCTGCCTTTATACTTCTGGACCCAGTTCAAGAAACTGGCCTTAACCTTTAAATCCCTATTCAGCTTGGTACTGCAATACCTGTTGGAGAACCTCTGCTAACCCTGATGTACCCTGATGTTGCTCTCAATCTTTGGGGCTTTCCTCTGAGTGCCAACTCCACAAGAGGCTCAGGGCGGCAACAAGGAGAAGGGCCTTCTCTGTGGTGGTCTTGCGTCTTCAGGACAACCTCCCTGCTGCAGCCTGCCTGGTGCCACATTTGCTGTCTTTTTGGTGCCAGGTCAAGTCAGTCTTCTATGTAGGGGCTTTTAAAGCTCTCTTGGTTATCCAGGGACCTGAGTGGATTATCCTGCTAATTTTTCTTGTTGCTAGGTCTTTTTATTCTATGTTTACTGTATTTTAAGCTCCTTTTAATTAAGTCTTGTAGCATTGTTGTTTTATGTTATTTGTATTGTATTTTATTGTTTTGCTTTATACATTGTTGTCAACCACCCAGGGAGCTTCAGTTATTGGGGTTGTATAGAAATAAAATAAATAATTCAGACATGTACCCCATATGTTGTAGCATTTCTTAATGCATGAAAATTTGGAGCACTTCCATCCAAAGTTTTCCATACAGCTAACTCTTCACAATCTGGATGATTTTAGGCAGTTATGATAGCTCCTAATTCACCTAATTATATACTTCAGTTTGTATACATTAGTTTGAGTAATATCTGATTTGTTTGTTCGGCTTTTGTGAGGCATGCTATATTGACTCTTTTCTGCCTTCTCAGATGGTTGTTCTGACATAAACAGGAATGTGGAAAATTGGAGGTGTAATACTTGTCTCCTTTGAATTGTAATAGATCTATCAAGGGACACAAGGTTCAGAAATGAAACCCATGCCTGCACTATTGGCTGCCCAGTATCTAGAATGTAGCAAGTTCTATGTTTTGTACTGACCCAAAGCTACGATTAATGAAAAAGCCCCCTTAATGATTATACAGTAGTGCTGGTAGTAGCACCTTGGAGCATATTCAGTGTTTAGAGTGTTTCAGTCATTATTTGGATAAATTTTCACAGCAGTCCTGCAAGGAAATTAATTAATATTCCTCTTTTCTGGGAATGAGGCTAAAGCTGAGAGTCCATTTGTATGAATTCGGGGTGAAAATGCAAGCTGAATCTGAATTCACTAAAATGCAGTGTTCTGTATAAACTGAAACCACATTGGGTCTTAGCTAGTGTATGATTTGTACTTCTGAATTAATAGCTTGGTGTTAAATCTGATCTAGTTAGTACTTCATGACCAACAGTGGGTCTATTTGAAGAGAAAGGATAATATGACTAGGTTCCAGCTGAGTTATGGATGTTCTCATGAGCAAAACTAGTTTTGTAGCAGACATCTTTTAAAAATATATTTGGAAAATTGACTTATTTTACAGTAGCGATGGGCCTGCTGTAGTTTGACATTCCTTCTATTCACAAAATGATTTTTTCCTGATATTGAGAAATATATATTCATGTTTTTTCTTACTTTACTGAAGACACTGGAAGAACATGAAGGGGAGACAGGGATGAAATCTAAAGAGGCCCGGAAGTACATATTTAACAGTTTGGATGATATAGTGCATGTGAGTACATACATATACATTGAATATATACAGTTAATTGGCTGCTATTTGTCATTATGTTTTGCTTCTGTTGAATTTCATGTTGATCTCTTCTTTGAGTCTGCTTAACATTTAAAGTCCAACATCTGGGATATAATTGGTGGTTTAATTTTTCCACATTTACTGATGATGTAAAAAAATGGCATTTTAATTTCTTCCTTCCATTGCAGTCCACATTTCTCCTGAATCATTCTTTTCCTCTATCTACTACCTCTAAACATGGAAAGGCATGCAAATTATAATGGGTTATAATGTGATTGGATCCTGAATCAAGAGGAAGGGACTTTCCAGAAGAAGGGCTCTGCTTGCACGAGGGCCCTCTTCCCAATTTTGACGGACTTTCCCCTCCTTACTACACCTCAGCTCACCTTATTCAGCAGGATTTCTTCTGGGACCTGGAGGGACTGCCATGGGAAGGAGGGAACAGGGAAGTCCACTTCTGCCTGGACTGTTGATCCATTGTAAACCTAGATCTAGATCATTTCCAATAAAATTACAGTCTTTTGATACTTTTTATAGTCTTGCTGTATGATGCTGATTAATGGCTGCTTATGTTCTTGCTTTGTGTATAACTTTGTTATTGTTTATATTTTTATTGAAGCTGTTGTGACTTAGATTTTATCACAGAGAGGCGGGATATAAATACCTAAATGGGCATGAAAATGTTTGCAGGTATGAATTAAAAATGAGTGGCTTTTACCCTTACATTTAATTGTTCTGTGCCAGGTGAACATGGTAATGGATTTGGAAGGAAGTGACTTGCTGGCGGAGAAAGCAGACAGAAGAGAATTTGTCAGCCTGTTGAAGAAAATGCTATTGATAGATGCTAATCTGAGAATCACTCCAGTTGACACACTGAACCATCCTTTTGTTACCATGAAGCATCTCCTCGATTTTCCTCATAGCAGCCAGTATGTTGCACAAAGCATTTTAAAATAATAAATAATTCTGTGCGAGCCTCTTTGAATGGGTCAGTGTTTCCCGTGTTGCTAAATTTGCTGTAATGCCTGTGGAATCTGATTCTGGGCCTTGTTCTCCCAACTGATGAGGATTACAGCAGAGCCAGAGTTGTAGTACATACAGCCTCTCCATGCACACAGAAAAGTACTAAATGTAGTGCTGCAATTGGCACCACAACCATACCGGTACTTAGCTTTCATCGAAGGGCAATGCCACCTGGATTGAAGAACAGCAGCAGCAATCTCACTGATGTCTCACCCAATGGATTGTTTGCATTATTCCATTTCTGCTGACATGTAAGATTGACTTTGTAGTATGGTGACTGGAACTAGGAAAGGAATGGGTGACATGGCAGCTGCTCAATATCAGCTGCTCACCTGATTGCCTTTTACCTCTAGGCCCAATCATCTGATGACAGGTGAGGGCTCCAAACTGATGAGGCTCACTCCTTGTGTTCTTTACTCTTCTTTGCAGTGGTGGCAATAACTGTGCTCATAGTTTCCTCATAATGTAGAGTATATTAGCAAAGCCCACTTACTGCATAAGTAGACTCATACTGCCATCACTTCAACTGAAGTTTTTAAAATTTAAGGTTATTCTCCAATGTAAATGGTTTGGGCAGTCATATCTATGCCTTTTTGGATGGTTTGAGCAACAGGAAGTGGTGGGACTGTTACTTAGGTTTATCCTGCTCTTTGTATCACCTATTGATTAATGGACAATTCTCACCACTTTGCAATGCTTTTTCCCTCTCCCTTTTGTGAGCAGAGTGAAATCCTGTTTTCATATCATGGACATTTGCAAGTATCGATCAAATTCATACGATGCAAATAATTGCAATAAAACAACTGCTCTGAGACCAGTTGCTTCCAGTGCACCAGGTCTGACAACTAATTTTGCCAAGATTGGCGCATTACGAAGTCAGGTAAGCACTTCTGATTGTACTTAGGGTTTCCTGTTTCTTCCATTCCTGCCTCGAGATTTAGACCAGGACAAAGCTCTGTCAGGGCACTGAAAGGCAGGAACCTTTTTGAAGAGTGGGTCGGGATAATGAAACTGGTTTTATCGCATATTTTAAATGAATAGTTCTAGTGATTTGGACAATATAATTTTACATTGTATCTGATAAAGGAACCCATGCTTGGTTTGTTGGAGAAAACCATTAAATCTTAATTAAGATTTAATATACCACCATTAGGACCACCAAAAATTGTGCCCAGCCAGTCTTGATTTCCTCTTAACCAGGCGAGATGTTAACAAAAAATTGAGGAGATGGAAGAACAAGGGAAAGCAGGGAGGACATCAGCTTGTTACCCTTTATTTCCCTTGCCTGATGAACAGGTTTGGAAATCTCCAGCTTTGCCCATACTTTTGTGTGTATTTGTTTGGGCCTAATAAAAATGTGGCCTGATCATAGATGTAAGACTGGTTATCTTGGGGATCCTTCTAAATAAAAGTATGGGATAGAAAGCAACTAAATAAAGGCCAAATAGAAATCCAGTAAAATATAAACAAACAGATTTATCCTCTTTAGGCATCTGGTGAAATAGGCTCCTGCCTTCAACACCTCATACTGCAGTTTTATTACCCCTTTGCCATTTTTTGCCCAGAGTGGCTTTGAACATGGTGGAACTGCAGAGGGAACGGGAAATGTAAGTGCTCCATCACAGCCATGGTCACCTGTAGTATCCTAAATAGAATGTTCACATCTTCACCTGGGGACATCCAAAAACTGACCCTGCATGAGGATCATTTGTATTTCCCCGTGGATGTAGATGTGAAAATCCTATTACTTATATGTCAGACATAGTGAGGTATTTGTCAGCCTTCACTGTTTGTAATACCTGAAGCTCTTCAAGGTCTGAATTTTTCAGTGGTGCCAGGATAAATACCTAGGAATATGAACATGGTTTGGAACTTTACTACAATGCTTTTGAATACTTGCTGTACAGATCATCCCCACTTCTGCACTTTCCTGGCTGTTTTGCTTACCTTTCCACTACTCCATACGAAGCGGGTGGGGATCAGTTGTGGCCCTGAATGTTAGTCTATTCTGTATGAGTACCAAAAGTCTGTAGACAGGCTCTTCAGGTCAAATTACCAACCTTTTCTAGTCATTCTCTTAGAAAATATTACACAAAACGGAAGCCAAAGAACATGCAAGTTCCATTTTTCTAAAATGTTTCATTATATTGCCCCCATGTGGTCAGATGATACATTTGCCAGCATGGGCTATATGATCAAATTAATCTTCATGTATTAGGATTTGCTTATGCACAGAAAGAGTTTTATCACCTTCATGTAACATTAAGAATTAAAAGGTCCTTAATCAGATACTATGGTAAATCAAAGATGCACCAGTTTAACCCAACTTTAATAACAGAATGCATTTTAATCAATTTAGCCTGAAAAATGTGTCAAACATTTTTTAGTTTATGATATATCTGTTGTTTCAGACATTAGCTGCATCTGCCCATTCAGTCATGCACCATGGAATACCACTACCAGCAGGAACTGCTCAGTTTGGATGCAATGATGCTTTTCATCAAACACTGATTATTTGCCCCCCTGCTATCCAAGGTTTGAACTGACTTTGACTGTTTGATATTTTTAAAATTAATTAATTCATTGGTTTTCTTCCAAAACACATAGGTTTGTTTTTTGAGTTGACTCCCACCTACAGAAACTTGTTAACAGTGTAGTTCTGGTCACAGCATATTGTTGGTGATGGAAGCAGGGAAATTACTTTTACGGCTTCTCCTTATACCCTAGTAGCCAGTTGTGACCCCTGTTCTAAGACTGAGTGGAATGTGGGTGTCCACCTTCTCTTCTGTCAGTAGCATCTTTTGTTGTAGGGGTGGGGAACCTCCCTTAGCCCAAGGGCTGGTTTTAGTTTTGGAGACACTCTTGAGGGTCCCACATTCCAGATGTTGGTGAAGCTGAAGGCAAAGGGGATGGGGAAAGAATGGAAAGAATAATGTAGCATTACGTCCAAGCATAATGTTGCTTGCAGTGCAATTCAATGCATGATTAGGCTGAAGAAAGTCCTGTTAAACCCAGCATACTAGGAATAGTAGGAATTTCCTCTGATCATGCATAGAATTGTGTCTCTGAAGCTCCCACGTCTTACTTAGGCAAGGCATTTCAACCTTTTAGAATGGGGAGAAAACTGCAAAAGGTAAGAAACCACCAAGTCATTGGTGGGAAGGGAAGAGGGGAGGGGTTCGGGCTCAGAGATGGCTGTCCTGATAAAACTGGATTTGGCTGCAAGATCTAATCTTCTTGACTTTATGCAGAAAGAGCCAAAACATTTCAACAATACTTTAAAAATGACCATTCTGAATTTTCCTTTAAATTATTAAGTAACAAAGACCACCTCCATATTCTGTTACTTGAGTGAATCAAGGAATCCTCAAATTCAGTAAAACCTTGAGATAAGCTACAGTGATTTTACTTCAGATTTGACAATTTAAAGATCCTGATGGTGTCATAGTATTACATTTTTAGGCACTTATCCTCATGTTTATCTTGTGTTTGGATCCAGCAGCTGTCTCACTAAGATTGCTCATTGTTATGACTTGGAAAATCATAGAGATCACAAAGGTCTTTTAAAATGGGGATTGGAAGGCAGCACATTTCCAGTTCTTGGACTAAAACGCTCATCCTTGAGCACTGGCCATGCTGACTTGGGTGATGAGTGTTGGAGTCAAACATCTGTATGGCCACTTGTACCTCACACTTCTTTTAAAATCAGATTTCATTAGCCACTAATAAAATCATTTCACAGATTTCTCATCACTTCTGTACTAACTTTAAAAAATTAGCCGAGAAGCTTAGAAATACCTTAACCTAACCAGCACTTGCTTGTCATTTCAGTTAAATTACACTTTGAGACCCATGTATATAATATATAATATTTTTTAATGAATACAAAAGAGTGACTGTCCTTTTGTGCCCTTCAGCAAGTATTTCAAAGTTGGCAAGATGGTGAACTTTAAGGGTATTATTTTCAAAATTAAAACATGTTTTCTTCAGTCACACAGACCTACATCCATGGGCATCTCTATCATCTTTGAGTTTACCTCTTGGAATATTCAGGGTGGCCCCTTCACCGTACGCTTACTGAAGTCATGTGGTAAAGACCCAGAAGCATTGTGGGCCCATCCCTATCCGTCATCTTTTTATTTTGTCAGCCCCTGAAACATATCTGGGCTATGTTTCCTAATGAAGTTCTTTTCCTAGTCTGTCTGTCTTTTTGCTTAAGATTCACTGTTCCTTTTTTAATGAAATTTCTGTTATGTATCATTATTTTTATCAAGCATGCTAAGGAGTGTAGGGCTAAAATGGTGCAGACTTCATGGAATTTCTATGAATGCCAAGTTTAAGCAGTGACTCCTCTGTCTGATAGGACTTGCTGGAAATGGGTTGCAACATATGCGAGCTGCTTAATCCCAGAACTAAAAAGGATCTTGCTGATGAGTGAAGGGTGCATTTGATATAGCCGACAGAGACTGTTCTATAATTTTCTGGACAGTATCTCTTTTTGGTTCTGAGAGTTATGCTGCACTTCAGTTTAGTGTTTCAGTGCTGATTAATTTGCAGTTCAGGCATGTTAGAATTCCTGCTATTAGCACCAACCTCTTGATACTACATCATCTTTGATTTTGTAGTTAGTCTACAGTGAGTTGGAGACTTGAGATTTCAGTCCCTACTTGGTAGTGGCAATTGTAGTTTTTTTCATGGTCTTTGTGCATCTTCTCATTCAGGAAGATTCTCCTAGCTTAACATTGAGCTTTTGGTGGGAGCTCAACTCCCTCTCCTCCTTAGTATAAATAAATACTAAATAAATTTAGTATTTATAAATAGGAGAGGCTCCCACCATTTTGTCCGTTCACTTTTGACTGCCATTTGCTGTGCCTTGGGACTCTTTCCTTCCATTAAATCTACGTTACCTTAGCTTGTTTCTTACCTATTTTCACAACTATTTCATTTTCTTCCAAATTTCCACATACACACCTACATACATACATACACACATAATCTCCCCCTTCTATCGTCTTCCCTGGCTCCTACCTGCTCCTTGGACAGATTCTTTTCTTTCTTCCTCTTTCAGTGGCTCAGTGTTCAGCCTTAGAAAGTGTGCTAAATGTGGTGCAAAAAAAGTTGCAGCCTCCTGCTTGTTTCAGGGACATGCTGTCTCTGATACTGGAAGCAGCAGAATTCGTAACAACAGATAGTCTTAACTACCATGAAAGTCATAGTTTGGTAACCAGGATAGGGCCATACTACATGTGAGCTGTGGTTAGGACTTTTAGTTATTTTTAATAATAAGCAGCTCTGTATGGAGAAGAGGTGTTCTGGGCATGGCACAAGTGTTTATTTTTCCCCTAATGCAAATTGCTCCCTCAGATTGCTGTTAGCAGGAGATGAGGAAAAAACAAGGACTAAACATAGTTGCTCTCCCTCACTCCTCGGTTTGTGCAGTGAGTAGTAGTTTTTTATAGAAATATATGCCATTGGGGAAAAGGAAGAAAGGCTTATATGTCCTTTCCCAGTGCATTCCTATCTCCAATCTTCAAAGTAGTCTTGGGTTGCAAATTTGTAAAAATAAAACACTAGTTGTTAATTTCTTATATTAGGTCTGCTTAGGTTCTAAATGTAATCTGAACTGAACCACTATGAAGCCACATTGCCTTGAACAGAGTTTGTAGTGTCAATGAGGTATAATTAATAAATCATTTCACATGCACAATCAGTTTTATATTCTTTTTTAAGCAGTTGGATTCAAGCTTGAATGTTTATTTCTGTTTCTAAATTAGGAATTCCCGCTAACCATGGGAAACCCAATGGATATTCTGTAAGAGTAGATAATGCGGTACCATTGGTAACACAGGCCCCAACCATACAGCCACTCCAGATAAGAGGAATCCTTTCTCAGGTATATTAATTTGTTCGCTGTTGCAGAGTTCACTTTTTTGGAGCTAAACATAATCATGAAGCTTGGGGATCTGCAGTTGGATCTCCCTACCTCTCACAGCCGGCACAAAGAGACTCATATCAAGAAACCTAGTTGGCAACTTCACTAAGGTTGTAAGACCAACTTTGAAGCAGGAGGGGTGGGCAGAGGAACCGACTGGGACCATCAGGATACAACATATCCTGGTGGCTCTCCACCATCTGTTCCTCCCTGTCCAAAGTACCTGATGGGTTGTGCCGTTACACATTGCTTTGTGTTGTTTATTTTTGGGGAAATAATATTGCATCACTTGGAAGGGCCTGTGGCTCAGTGGCAGCACACATGCTTTGCATGTAGAAAGCATTGGGGTTTGCTTAAAAGAATCTTGGATATAAAACTGGAAGGCATCTGAATATTTAGGGAAGTGCTGCCATTCCACTGCCAATAATGGTCTGATGGGACAAATGCGCTGACTCTTTATTTGAAAGCTTCACATGTTGGATAGTATTCTTCATAATGCCTTTTGTGTATGTTCACAACAGACCTGGTCTAATAGAACTCAGCAAATTTTGCTTCCTACATGGCAACAAGTAACCCCTCTGGCTTCTGCTACAACACTAGCTTCTGATTCTATAGCTGGCCCACAGAGGCTTGGAGACTGGGGGTATGTTGAAACAATATTTTAGTTCTGTATGGTATATTTTGTATTCAAAAACTAAGTATGCAATGCTGCCTGTTTGAATGATTTATTTTCGTTGACTTCCTCAGGAAGATGATTCCCCACGGCAACCATTACAACTCAATGATGACCCAGTCTCTCCTGACCAATCAGATAACTTTGTCTGCTCCTCAGCCAATCAGTGTGGGCATTGCACATGTGGTCTGGCCTCAGCCCACGCCTGCCAAGAGAAATAAAGCATGCCAGAACAGGTTGGTATTGGATGATGCCTTTGGTTGATTTAGCTGTACAATCATACTTTCAGTATCCCCATAGAAAGGGGCAGTATATTATAAACATTGCATGCCTGTCAGGTTTTTGGATATTTGTTTAGCATGTTTATTTCTTTAAATAATTAAATACTATGTTAGAAGACAAATTGTATAGAAGCCTATTTATTAAAACCAAGGGATAAGAAAAAAAGAGGGAGTAATGCATAGCAAAGCAGCATTTGCTGCCCTTAAATCTGATCTCTGCTTGTGATGACAGGTACTTTGACTATGTATATGCAGTTGTCCTTGGTTTGGTTATTAAAAAACAAGGCAAAACAAAACAGGTAGTCTTAGTTAGCTGTTCCTAAATTTATATGCATGACAACTTGTCAAATTTGAGCTATTGAAAATAGAGACATTGTATAATACTAGTCATAATATGACTTAGAATAGTATTAAGAATAGTCTTTCTTTTGCTGGCAGCAAGAAACACTTTAAGTGCTCTGTGGAGAAAATGTGCCCCATCACTACAGAAGTTATTTACAAAGGTATGGGACATTTCAGTAATGGAGAAACCTAAGACCGGGAAGGACAGTTACAGTGGTGAACTATGTTAAGTAAACCCCTGATTCATGCCCACTGAAGTCAGTGAACACAGTTCCTGGTGATTTCAGTGGATTTTGAATCTGATTCAAGAATGTCTATGGTGTCCAAGCCAGCATTTCTTCATTTCTTCTTTCCTTTTTAAGAGAATGGTACTTCAGCGTATTGTATTACATTTCATTGGTAAATCCAACTTTGATCCTTGCATTGCAGCATCTGAACAACCCTGCTTGTGATATGCAATAGTTACCTGGACAGTTTTCCATTATTGCTCTGGAAAACAACATTTTTCAGTGTTATCTGTATGTTCATTGTTTTATGTTTCATGTCTTGATTTATATTCATTGATGTTTCAAAGTTTATGTTCTAGTTTTAAAGTAATATGGGGAGGGATGGCAAAAGAACAAGTTACTGAGTTTGTTTTATATGAAACAGCTTTATGAAGTATCTAAATGGATGTCTTCTTCACAGGAGTAATGTGTTACAAAATACCAATATCCAAAATTCAGCATTTGTGTCTCCAAAGATAATAAATGTGAAGCCTGGTGAGAAACTAAGTTGTGTAGAAACACAGGACAATCATAACTCAGAGGGGCAGGAGAACCACTGTTGCAAACCATCTGTCAGGCAGGATCCTGATTCGTCTGTTTCAAGCAAACAACGCCAGGCTATCATCATTGCAGATTCCCCAAGCCCAGCAGTCAGTGTGATTACCATCAGCAGTGACACAGATGAAGAAGATGTGGCACAAAGGCATTCAGCTGCAGAGTAAGTTGTTGCTCTTGGCTTGCAGTAACAGATTCGGGATTGTGCAGGGATTGGAAAGTCATTGTTTTGGTGCCAGTAACATGATTTTTCTCAGTGATACTTTGCTAATGCACAGGGTACATTTTTAAAAATTCTGTACCAGTTGAATGTTTTTATGGTTTAACCGATCGGTTGGATCTACTTCTGTGTGCAGCCTTTTTTTGGTCTGCATTATCTATTTCTGTTTGCATAAAGTATCAGGAACTTGTGTATAATCAGAAGTGGAGTACAAGCAGAAGAACTTGTATGTGAGTATTCAATGACATGTGATGATAAAATGCACAAACTGAAGAACTTTGTGCAAATATATATGAAATCATTAATTTAGAAAGGAGTTTTCTCACCCCTCTCTTCCTGCTGAAGTCCTCTTACAAATCTGTTTCTCAGGATTGGGGAAAGCAGTTCAGCAGGCTTGAGTAGGAAGGGGGAGTTGGGAAAAAAATCTAGAAATGCCCCGACCCCTGAATGAAAAGAACCATTTTGGGAGATGGTATTTAACACCAGTTAAGTTAAATCAAATTGATGACAAATATTCTAATATGTTGGAGATGTGGGAAAGGGATTGGAACATATAAACATGTGGTGGGATTGTGATAATATACAAAAGATTTGGATTATGGTATTTAAGGAAATTAGAGAAATTTTAGATATAGACTTAGAAATGTCACCAAGAATTGTGTTGTTACTGTTGATTGAAAAACAAGATATAAATGAAGCTAAGAAAGAATTGATTGTAAAAATGATAATGGCAGTTAGGCTAGTGATAGTTAAATATTGGAAACAGAATTGGGTTTTGCAAAGGTATGAATGGTATAATTAAATTTGGAATATGGTAATTAATGATAAACTGATGACAAAAATACAAATAAAAAAGAGTTAATGAAAGCAAATAAATATAATGAAATTTGGGAAGATTTTGTAAAAGCAGTATTGTTAGAAGGTAAAGGTTGTAAACCTAATCAAGATTATATGACTTTCTGGAAGGGATATGGATATAATTGAAGTATATTATATATTATTAATTGTTATAGTATACGAATTAAGTGGCGGTATTATTGGTCTCTGGGGTGGTGGGGGCACTTTATCATTTTCTTTTTTAATTAATAATTGAGTTTTTATATGTTATATTATTAATGTAATGCGTTGTATTTATAGTTTTTTCTTCTGTATTTAAAAAAAAAGCAGGGGAAGAAGAGAACCATTTTGCACACACATAATCTTTTGGATCCAAGCGACTAAGTAAAAAAATTAAATGTTTAAATATATTTACAGGGTGAATTTTAGATGCTAAAGGATTTAACTGAGTTTTGAAATTTGCAGAAATATAATATGTAGCCATTTTTTGCATGTTGGAAACCATTCCACAGTGAGAAAGATTGAGGCAGTATGCAGTGTAACCCAAAATAGAAAAAAATTGCAGTAGAAGCTACAGCATATTAGCTAAAGTATATTTGTATGTTGCCCCATAACCTATAGTTTAATATTTCCATTAAGCTAGCTGGAAAATAAATCTAGGCAGCACGTGGCAGTCCTTTTCAGTTTTATGGCTTTCAGCCTTTGTCTTATGGTTAATACACTGCTGGCACTAAATCAATGCAGTTAATAGTTGCTATTGATGTTCAGTGAGACATTTGTAGGATGAATGTTTGTGAGCACACCATTAAATGTGGCTCTGACTTTTTCTTTCAGATGTAAAGGTAGCCTGGATTGTGAAGCTTGCCAGAATACTCTAAATATTGACCGTGTATGTTCATTAAGTAGTCCTGACAGCACTTTGAGTACTAGCTCTTCTGGACAGTCCAGTCCATCCCCTTGTAAAAGACCCAACAGGTGAGAAATGTAAACAAATGGATTTTGTGTTAAGTGCTGCAATTCACACATCATACTAAGCTTACAGTCCTGGCTTAGTAAGTCATGCTATGCACAGATGGTACACACCTTCACACAGACCATTTTCTGCTTTTTTTCCTTGCCTTTTACTCTTTGTGTGAGCTGGAAAACAGAACAGTATTTAGCCATTAAACTTAGCGAGCCAGAATTCAAAAGCCTACGTCAAACCATGGTTAACATCTGGGTTCTGATCCTGACCTGATTGGAAGAACTTAACCATAGTTCCTTGTTTGCTTGTAATAGCTGTCTTTAAGTGCCAAATCCTGGCCTTTTTCCCAGTCAAGTGAAGGCAGGAGTGAAGTTGCTGTATGTATCTGTATGTTGCTTCAACATATCCTTGCTTATTAAGACTTTGTTCCTATCACATACAAAGGCAACTCTTGTGTAGCACCTCTATAATATAAGACCTCAAAATCCCTTTCCCAAAGGCAATTTTCTGTAAGCACTCCCACATGTAGGTGTACACAATTCAAAGTCTAATGGACTGATGTGTTACATCTGGCATAGCAGAGCTTTCCGTGTGCACTGCTGTGCATCTCTGACACTCATCTGAGGGCAAGATATTTTGGAGTAAGGAACAGGTAAGGGTTTTGTGAGGGAAAAGATCAGTCTCCTGAAGGACTGCAAGTCAGGACTGTCAAGATGAGCTTCATTCAGTGCAGTTGTAACAACTTTGCTAACACATCCGTTTGGATATACCAGTTGCAAATGTTTCTGAAGGTAGACATTGACATATATAAGTGGTTGCAAACACTTTTTATGCTACAAGCATTGTTTTGACCATTGAACTTTTGGGTTATATCTCACTTGTGTTACTAATTCTTGAATATAAATGTAAACAATTATATTTACAGGTCATGCAGAGAGAACTAACATGAGCATCTTTGTTCAGTTGTGAAATTCTTGTATTTTCGGTCATTTAAAGATATGCTATAAAATTACCTTGCTTCACTGAAAATTATTGCCGCATCAACTAGGCTACCCTTATTTTAAAAAGTCAAAAGAAAATAGTAGGACTGCCAAATGTTTTTCAGTATTTAACAGGAAAAAGGGGACTTTTCTGCCCCATAGTTAAGTTAAACATCTCTCAAATCTTGCCCAGTTGGCTACAGATTTGGTGTCACTTCAATTTTTTAAAAAAAGTTTCCTGTTTTCTCCTAGAAACAGTAACAAGCCATTCAGCCAGTCAATTTTGGTTGGATAATTCCATTACCTAGAGTAAATAATGTCAGCTTAAAGCGATGTCACTATTGGGTGAAGGGCTATTTTAAACAGAAAATACTGAAGCTACAGCTTTTTGGAAATATGAAATGGTTGCAGTTCCTTTAATCTGGTGGTATACATGGTGCATGCAATTGGGCAGAACCTGATTTCCTTCTCCCAGGCAAAGTCTGGCAGCGTGATAGCATTTTCTTTGGTGACTGCTTTCCATGGTTTACCTGAAATTGGTCAGCAATTAAACTTAGATCAGGTTTACTTTTCTGCCCACCTTGTACTTAGAGAAACCCAACGTTATTTAAAAATATACCTAGTTGAACCCATGACTGGAATTCAAATAATCTTGAAGAAGGTTAAAGTGTTTGTCTCTATTATTATTATTATGCCTGGGGATAGCTACATTTATGTATAAATAATGATGTTCCTTTGGTTTTGGAGCTGTTCGTGGTTTTTTCAGTAGTCTGTATGTTATGAAACTTTTCCTGATTTTATAAGGTAGGAATCTGAGATTCAGGATGTTTAACTTGAATCTGAGTTTTGATTTAACTGTGAATATATTTAAACAAATGATGAACCATTAACAATAAGTTTCATTTAGCATATTTTGCACCACCCTTTGGATATATGCTATCAAAGGAATGTATTTTGTGTTAACGTAATACATGACTCATAACATTGTTTTACTCTTTTACTATAGTATGTCAGATGATGAACAAGAAAGTGGTTGTGACACTGTGGATGGTTCTCCCAGTTCTGACTCTTCAGGCCATGACAGCCCATTCCTAGAGAATAGTTTTACAGAAAACACCAGTGAAAACCCAGAAAACAGAACTTCTGCTAACTTGGAAGCCAAACCAGCTGTTTGCACTGTGATGGTGCCACCCATAAGGATAGAGAACAGGTTGAATGTAGATGAGCAAATGACAAACACAGGTAACTGGAGATTATTTGCTTTGCTGTCTTGGCCAGTTTCTGTTCAGTGTAGGGGGAACCTTTTGGGTAATGAGGAATGTAGCAATAGCCGAATGCCTGAAACCTGGGCGCACACAGGTAGCACTCCTGCTTGTGCAAGCTGTCCATACTCTGTGGCCATTGGTTTCTTCTTCCAGCCAAAGCCTCCTAGTTTCTGGAGAGGCCTGTGGAGTTCACATAAGAGAAGGGGACAGGTAAGTTGGGTTTATGAAGATCCAGCTGGATTTATTTATTTACAATATTTCTACCCCGTCCTACATGAAAAAACGTCCCAAGATGGCTTACAATGATCAAGACAATAAAAATTACAATAATTAAGACAATAATAATTACAATAGTAATATTTGGATTAAAAACAGTAATAATTACAATAATAATCCAGCTCTTTTGTGCTTGCTAGGCTTCTTTGTGGACTCTGTGCGTCACACACATGGGCTTTGCGCCTACACAGAGCCTGTTGTTGGGAAGTTTCTATAGCCAAGTGTTCATATGGGTGGGAGCCCCTCCCCTTCCTGTTTTCAGGAAGCCTGGAGAGAGGCTGCCATCCATCTCCTGGTTTGCAGGTGCCTAGGAATGCTAGTAGAAAGGACACAAACCCCAACATTGCATGTGTGGATGGGCAGCTCCACTGGCACAGTGGGTGGTGAGCGCAGAAATCAGCCTCAATTCATGTTTTGTGTTTCCAATTAAGATAGAGGTCTTTCACTTGAGTGGTAAAATGAAAACAAATAGAAGCAATCCTGTGGTATATTATGTTGACCTGCTTATTTTTTTATTTTAGTTACCACCTGCCCACCCTTGGTAAAACGTCGATTTGCTCGTGTAAAAACCAATCATCCTTCTGGCTTGGGTAATCGTCAACGAAAATTGTCATCAGCATTCCATCAGCAGCACTCAAACCTCAGTCAGGTATGTGCACAAATGTTGACGGACTAGGTGAAAGTATTTTTTCCCTTTTGCAGTATTAAGACTTGCAAACTGTGAAATTTGTTTAGTTTCTAAATAGATGGAAGCATCTTGTAAACATACATATGCAAATTTTTGGCCATACTACTTCTCTCTTTGGCTTCCAAAACTCAGTTTTCTCCAGAAAAAAGGAGGGATGCATCCCAAGACGTTCTATAGGGGACAGGATAGAAAAGCTTTAATAAGTCAATCTTGTTAAACAGTGGATTGGATCCAGAGTCTCTTTTCTGCAAATGGAAGGGCTCCTTCAATTTGCAGAATGGACTGAGATTTAGGAGAAGCTCTTGCTGAAAGGGTATGGGGAGATAACTTCTGTGCTTTCTTCTTCCATCCGCAGCCCCCACTGCCACCTCCTACGCTATTTTGGAGATTTCTCCAGCCATTTGGAACAGCTTTTCAGGGGATGCAAGGGGCTGAGGAGGGAAGGGGGAATTTGAAATTTTCCTTCCTCCAGTGAGAATTTTGTTCATGGGTAGTTTGGTTTCAAGCAAATATACTTACATTGGGAAATACAATGCCTGAAGATGTGGTGATAGCCACTCATTCATGTTTCTTTAAAAAGGATTGAATAAATTCTGTGTGTGGATAGGATCTATCAGTAACTAGTGGCCATGATAGCTAAATAGAAGTTTGTGTCCAGAGATGGTATGCCTCTGAGTACCAAATCCTGGGGACAAAAGGGAGCTTATGCTTTGCTTCTCATCATCGCAGAAGTGTCTAGCTGGGCATGTTTGAACAGAATTTCTGCTGGCCTAGAGAGCCATTTTGTTTGATCCACCAGGGCCATGCTTAACATTATGATTGTGGAGGGAGGATCCGAGAGTCAAAAAAGGAGGAAACCTACTTCCAAAGATATTTCAGGCAGGATTTATGAAAAAAGAGGGGAGATTGTCTGCATGTAAGTGCAGCTTACTTTATTGGTGGGAAACAGTATTTCTACTTTGGAATTCACTGTAATTTCTCTTGGACAGGTTCAGCACTTTGGATCTGGGTCTCAGGAGTGGAATGGAAACTGTGGTCATTGGAGGCAGCAGACGTACATCCCCACTAATGTTGCCAGTCACGCATTCTCCCTTCAGCACGGAAGTCCCACTCATACCTCAGTTCATGCGCACCTGGCTGGAAGCACGCATCTTGGAGGACAGCCTGCTATTCTACCTTATCCAGCCTCTGGACCGCTTAGTACTGCTGCTCCTGTTGCCCACATCCTAGCATCTCCATGTACCTCAAGACCAATATTACAGCATCCCACTTACAGTATCTGTCATCATGGTGGTATAGTGCACCAAGTCCCAGTGGGCATAAATCCCCGTTTGCTGCCTTCCCCAACTATCCATCAGACTCAGTACAAACCAATTTTCCCACCGCATTCTTACATTGCATCACCCGCTTTCACCGGATTTCCATTGAGTCCAACAAAACTCAGCCAGTATCCATTTATGTGAGACTCAAGTTACAGTGTGCTGGGAAGCTCAGTGATATATACATCAGATTTGAGAGGAAAACATGGTATTTAATAAATATTAGCCATGGCACAACAAGAAAATTATTTTTTTTAATCATGTTAGACTTGGGTGCAATTTAAACAACCTTGAGCTTTAACTCACTTTTAATGTGTTTTTGCACATTTGGTATAAATTTGTCTTTAGTCATGTTATCTTCTTATAGAGTAACTCCAGACAGGTGACTTACGGGAGTAGAAATCCAGTTTTGCTCCTCCTATTTTTTATAAAATTGCCTTCTAACTTAGTGAGAGACACGTCTACGTTTGGGAAGCCATTGAGTGTACAGATTTAGAGCAACAGATGCACATGTGTCATCAGTATCATGTATGAGTAACTTGTTTGTATTACGTATCTTGATGTTCAGTGTCGAGTCACTTATCTAAAAAGGTTGAGCTGTTCTTCACATTGCATGTGTCCTTTGCATGGGCAAAAATAAAGTTGCCTAGAAATTTGCTCTTAATGTTGGTGTCCTAATAATCTCAGCTGCATTGTAAACTGTTCCCACACATAGTGCCTTAAATATTTGAGGTTGTTAATGTTACTATATTATAAATGTTGAGGACTGCAGCACTTAACATTCAGATTTGCTGATTATTTGATAGAGTAATGTGCACTCACTTTCTTTTCTTTTTTTAGTTGTGTGTGGTATGATTTTAGTACTGGGTGTGATTTCTTTACCTAGAGGGCAGCATGTTTTGCTGTAGCTGAATTCTGCTGTCTGATATATTTCCCCCAGAATGATCAGCTTCAAGAAAAGCATTTTGTAGTGCTTAGGAAAAGCTGGTTCAGTAGCTGTTGAATTTTTAAAAAATCACTTTTATCTGTTCCATGAAACTACAGTACAATCTAAGTAGTTTATTTTCAAAGTGTTTATGTCCAACTGGATATAATAACCTGTTTAGAGGTGCATAGGCATGATGTGGCTAGATTATGAAAGAAAAAACTAAATGCTCATTGATCCATGCTGTGGTTTCATCTTAGCTTGAGCAAACCATGCAGTATTTAATAAATAGTAGTGGAATATTTACTATTGAAGCTTGAAAAGATGTGAGTACTTTGTGTGCAATTTTTCATTTATGCATGGGAGAGATTTTAGCCTTTTTACATTATAGTATTTGTTCTAGCCTTTTGGGGGTATTTTCTTATTGAATACATTCCGTCAGGGACAACAAATTACATGCATTTTTCCCTAGGAAGTGCATATTTTCTGTGTTTTTTGTTCTTGTTCAAATAAATTTGCTTTTGCAGCACCAAAGACTTAATCATCCATTTCCTATAAAAGGTAGCTACTTTTTCCATAGACCTCAAGTATATTGTAGTGTTAGGGATGGGTTTAAAGGAAGGTATTAAAGTGAGGCTGTGATCTAGCTTATGAGGCAAGTAATAAATTGTATCATTTATCTTGAATGTATCATAGATAAGCTGCTATATAATGATTGCCACTTCGAATAGCTGTGAAATTAGGTGATTTATCTAGCTCTTAGCCTTCTAATTTCTGTATAAGTCTAGTTACATGAAATGGAAGTAGGGGATTGATTTTTGTTTTGTTTGCTTTCATATTTGGAGTGTTGTAACTACTATATTGTAAATGATGGAAGTCAATTGCATATGTTATTTTGGGGTGTGTTATTTGCTTCAGTATTTTATCTCCATTAACTATCATTGCATATAAGTGGATGTATCCATGTAATTTAATTTTTATGTGTTCATATTGACATTGTGCAGACACTTAAACTACTTAAACTTTTTAAAATAAGCATTTCTGGAATACAGTTCTTGCAACATAGACTGGAATAGGACTGCAAAGTGTTTCTCTAAAGCACAATCCTAAGCCTGTTTACTTAAAAGTAAATCCCACTGAGTTTGGTGGGGCTTCCTTCTAGGAAAGTGTGCATAGGATTGCAGGCTAAGAGCTGATAGTTTTTCTTTGCTCCATTAACACAAGCAGTGTTTTATTTAATGAATGTCTAAGTGAAATAAATGTGCCTGCATTTGATTTACTTGTTAAGGACTGAAATACAGTATTAATTAATAAAAACCAAAACCAGCAGTACATTAATATGGCTGAACATGAAACCTTAACCCTTTCCCACAACTCTTGGGCCACAGAGGGCCACAGCTGCATGGCCAGTGGGGCACGGTTTGATTTCCTGTTTCAAAAGCAACCCTTGTCCTATGCAGCAAGGTTTAAAAAACAGTTTGTGATGCGACACGAGAGGGCTGCTGTTCATATAAAGAGGAAATGGTCCTACTGGACACACAGGAGCCCTTGGGCATATTTAAGAAATGTTCTGGATTGCAGCTTCAGTGGTTTTTCATAAATAGTTTTATGCATTTTGTATAAATACAAACATGTATGTATATATCTCTTAAAAACAACAATAACCTGATTAAATTGGAAAAAAATCCATATTCGGAACTTTACACAGATGAAATCAAGAAAGTAATCACCTAAAATGGTTGAGTTCCTTAATATTAATGGTTCAGCAAATTCCTGTTTTCTGTTAACTTCTTGGTGGTGAAAATGGCATTTCTTGGTGCTACCTCCATTGCTGGCATTGGACTCACCAGGAACAAGCATGCCAGAAGTTAGCTTACTTTTCTATAAGGTAACAACAACATGGTTTCTCTATTTACTTGGACCTTCCTTTCTCAAGTATTTACTGTACTTTTAAACTGTGTTTAGGATACAAAGCTAATGCCCTTGGCATATGATGCCAGGTTAAACATGAAACCTCATCTATCAACCTAGTGTGGCTCCTAACATATTGTAAAAGAGTCTATCTTTTTTACTTTTCTTGCCACAACCAGCACTGAGCATAATGTGCTACTCCTACAGCCAGTTCTGTGACGATCATTGCCATGGAGAATCTAGACGTTTTGCCCTCTCCAGGCTATATGCCACCATTTCACTCGAAACCAGTTATCTTTATTCTGGTTTACTGTGGAATAACTTGGCTTGGAGGTTGAGGCTTTGAAGAATTAAGGGTATGTGCACACAGAACAAGGTATGGCAAAGATGTAAATCTGTGGTCAAAATAATCCCATACACACACACACACACACACACACACACACACAAATTGTTCTATTGCCTTTTAAATAAAACACTGCACAATAACAAATTGCGTAATATTTTTAATTTGGGAATTAATTTTTATACCAATTCCTTGCATTCAGTTTCTAACTTTAATTCAGGGTTTGTTATTGATCAAATATACTACTGTATGAACTAATTGTTTTGTTTAAAATTTTTAAATATTCTGTATTTACTGCTAATTTTAACTTGGTTTGTGTTAAGTAAAAGCTAAAATCACACTGCAAGCTATAGAAAGATTTGTTTTAGAACTAATGATATAGATTTGGTTATTAAGTTTGAACTGTTACAGTTTAACAATTATTTGTAGACTTGTGGCTTTTTTGTTATTGATTTCTGTGCTACACTAGTTTGCCATGTAGCAATTGCACTGTGCAATATTACAATAAGAGGACTGGGAAAATTTTTATGGATGTAATGTTTCCTACAGTTTGCGATAGTATTTCTCTCTAGTTCTCAGTGATTTAAATGTGACCAAGCCTTCTGTACTTTGTCACAAAAAGCGGGTTTTCCAGGTGACTATTTTGGTGAGTGTCAAAATAAGAATTTATGGTGTATTACTGTCGAGATTCACTTTGAATTAAAATATATATTGCAGCAAATTAAATCTGTTGACTTTTATTTTCATTAAAACAGACCAAGGTTGGATAAAATCTAGCCTTTTCAGGTCATATGCTGACACCTAAATACACAGTTTTGAGGTTACCTGAATCTCTTGGTTTCGGTAAGCAAGGTTAAGGCCAGCAGCTTCCATCCTAGGTATCCTATTGTGTTCTCAGCAGAAGTTATTTGACACAAAGTAGTGTTTCTATTCTTTGGAGAGTGAATAGAAATGTAGCATTCTGAGCACATGGAGATTGCAGAAGCTGAACAGTGATAGGAAAACTTTTGAGATTAAATTAGGTTTGTACCAGCTGAGGGAGAGAAAGAATGGAATAAAAGGGTTTTTAAAAGAAGAGAAGACAGTCTGTGGTACCTATTGACTCTGAGGTAATTATCGTTCCATTCTTGTGTATTTAACAGGTTTGGATACGATATTATGGCTGAGCATGGGTTATATTAACCTATTAAAAGCCATGGTGCCTGTGTGCATCAGGTTAAATATAGAAGCCCTGCTTGGGGATTGTGTGGCGCAGTCTGAGTTTTGCCGTGGTTAAATGCCCCATACATAATCTTAGAACAGACCACAACAAAACAGCCATCTTGGATCATACTAAGGTCCATCTCATCCAACTTTTTGTCACACAGCCAACCAGCAGTCTCTGGGCAAATCACACACAAGACATACATTAGCACAATTCAAGTTATGTTTCGCAGTAACACATGTGCATTGGCATATTGCCTCTAATTCAGGACATTGCATATAGCTATCGGAACCAGTAGGTATTGATAACCTATGGGTTTATCTACTGTCCTTTGAGTGGCCAGCACTACATTTTCTGGTAAAGAATTCTGTAGTTTAGCTACATGTTGTAGAAGAAGTAAAAAGAGAGAAGATTAAAGGAAATATTTTGAAATCCCACCAGTCAGCTTCATGGGATTTTTCTGTTCCTGTTAGCAGAAGAGGAGAAAGCAGTTTTGCTTATGTTTGGCTCTCCCTGCAGTCATCTGCCTCATACAGAATCCTCTGAAGCAGATTTTCAGAGATACAAGAGGTTACAGAAGGAATCTCTGAAATTTGCACACAGACTTCCTCCTGGCAGAAGTGTCAGCATGAATAAACACAAACTTACATTTCTACAGACTGGTTGTAACTTACATCTTTTTATAAGTTAGTAAACTGGATTTGATATCTTCATATTATCAGTAATTGCTGGATAAGTGTCATCTGGTCATCAAACTTACATTTCTACAGACTGTCATCATAAACTACGTAATATTTTAAATCCCTGCTATGGCTATTATTTACCTAGCAATTTGTAAAATAAACTTGAGATTTAATGTAATAGGTTGGAATTCCACCAGGGGGCTCTGCTGGAAGGGTTGATGTAGGCTTACTGGGTTAGGCACAGCAGCTCTTTCCTAGTATATAGTGGAAGTTTCAAGCTGGCATCATTCTAGAAGATGGTTCACCATAAAATAAACATAAGATCAGAAAAAACCCTGTAATTTCAGGTTGTGTTTCAATATTGTACAGTGTTTTATTCAGCCTCAACAGAGCTGAAAATCCTTAATGGAAATACAGCAAAAAGGAATATGTAGATATAAAACATTTACTTTTTAAAATCCTATTATATCCTGCCTTTCATAAAATATTAAAATAGTAAAAATACAACAGACAAAAATCTTGTAAAATCAATAACAATCAGCTGAAAGTATCCAATGTACAACAGAGTTCTAGTCATACTCATTGGCCAGACATACATTATGGTAAACAAATGTTAGCCCAGAGTCAAATTTTCAGGAATACTTGGGCGGGGGGGGGGGGGGGCCATTCCTGGCTCAGGGCTTGACTTCCACTAGTTGTGGAACAGTGAGTAAGGCCTCTTCCCAGAGCATAGATGGTCTGACAGAAGGAAAGGCTTTCCTTTGGTTTTCTCAAACCCATCCTATGGTATCCATTGCAATACCTTGAGTTTGGCCCAGCTGTTTCTGGCTAATGTTTGGGATGTTGGAGGGACTCCACTGGAGTAGGGGGCAGCATATAAATGCAAAAATGAATGAATGAATGAATGGCTTTAATAGTTTCTAAAATATGTGCATGTTTGGTGTTCTGCTTCCTCTTTAGCTGTATTTCTACCCACAACTCTTTGTTAAGCATTGTAGGGATGCTGTGAGTTGTAAGACACCCTTTTGTCTAAATATACATATGAATGTACATTTAATCTCTTTGGGAACACAAATAATACACTGCTGCATCAGGACATACTCACTTCCCTGCTAATAGTGGTATGGATTGCTAAGCACTGGAAAGGACAAGTAACAGTATCATTAAACAAAGACTATAGTCAAAGCCAACTGTTCGAGTCTGTTCTTTTAGGCATAAGAAGCAGCCTAGATAGATAGGGATTGGTATGCTTTTAATAATTTTGTGAATAATACAGTCAATTGAATAATTATCTCTCCCCAATTCTCAGCACATGGGAAATTACAGAAGCTATTAACCTGATGATAATCTGAGACATGCTTATAATCCTGGAGTTTCTCATTGCAAAATAATGGGTCACTTATGAGAAGAGGTCTCCTCAAGACATGCCAAAGGTAACCTGAGAAACAGTGTCTCAGTTTGTACTACTGACTTCCACTCAGGGTCTGTAGCTCAGGGGTCGGCTTTGCTCTCAGGTGTAGCCATTGAGATCTCCAGCTAGGGCTGGAAACCCATGCTGGAATCCTGCAGAACCTCTGGTCCGCTCATAAAGCAGGCTGAAGTACCTAACTGAGGTGGCAGAACTGAACTGCAGCAAATTGTGCCAATGCCCAGCCCATCCCCAACATGGAAAGCCCACAGCTGCCTCCAGCAACTGCCACAGAGAGCCCCACCAGCCACTGCCCTGCTAGGGTACTTGAGCAGCAAAACGCAATGGGAAGTGGGTGGGATAGAGAAGCTGCCAACATCTTGCTGCTGTAGGGTCCCAGGGCTCCTAACATGGCCAACACTTCACAATGATTTGTTTAGTAACTTGCCTATGTGCTCAGAGGCTCTCACAAAAATCTGGGGCCACTGAGGGATCTCATCCCTCTTCATTTCCTAACCTTCCCTTCCTGCCGTCAACGGCTCCAGCCTGTAGCACCCCTGGGTGGCAGAAAAAGAAGGCAGTGAGCTGTCTGACTGGGGTGGGTGGTGGCAGGGAGGGTGGCTGGTGTGGCGGCAGTGGAGGGAAGTGGAGGGAAGGCTGCAATGCCTTCACTTGGGCAGGCAAGGCAGCTTGCGCTGCACGTGCTGTACGGATTCACAGTTTGTCGCAGTACAAGTCAGATTTCTGTGTTCCTGCAGTCTATGCTTTTGTTCCATTCCGTAAGTCTTACATTTCAATAAATATAAATAGAAACATACTTGAAAAATACTTTAAAAATCGAAGGGAGCACATTTGGTGACTTAAACTATTTCACATTCAGCATCCACAGGGACAGTTTCATGTAGCAACTGGGCAGTGAGCACAGTTGGGATCCCCACTTTTGATGGAAGTGAAACACAGGAAAGGCCCTTCATAAAGGCCAACATGTATGAGAGAAGGCGATTGGTGAGGTACCTTGTTCCCTGAGTACTTAGGGCATGAACGGTCTAACAGAACTTTTTATTCAGACCTGAAGCCTACCAAAAACAGGCATAGCTATTTCAAAAGTAAACTTGTATGCTTGAATAAATCTTGTTCCTCTGAACAGCTTAGCAGCTGCTTTCTGAATCTTAACATTTTCAAAGGCAGCACATTGCAACAGTTAATCATTAAACTGTTGAGCCGTGCATGACTCTGGTTAGTATTATTATTACATTGCATTTATACCATACTTATTTTCCTTTCGCATGGAACCCAAGGTGCCTTACAAGGACTTCCTCCTTTCCATTTAATTCTCACAACAACGATTCTGTGAGACAGGTTAGGCTGAGTGTGTGTGACTGGCCCAAAGTCACCCAGTGAGTTTCAGGGCTGAGTGGGGATTACAACCTGGATGTCCCAAGTCCCAGTTCAACACTCTAACCACTATACCACACTGACTAGATCGTTTGCTAGGAAAAGGCGCAACTAGCTTGCTAGCTTCAGCTGCTAAAAGACACTCCTAACCACTACCACCCCAATACTCTGCTCATTACTGCTGACACTTGGGCTTATGGCTGGGTATACATTTGTTCATCGGTTAGTATCTATATATTGACTGTACACATACATTCATATACAATATATAAGTTTCTATATAGCCCAAACTGCCTGATCCTGCCTAATCTAGGAAGATAAGCAGGGTCAAGCCTGGTTGAAATTTGAATGGGTGACTTACTGCCCAGAAAGCTTTGGCTACGGGCAGTATAGAAATGTAATGTAATAATAATGCCTAAAAATTTATCAATAACCACTGGGCAGCTGCTTGGCAGGCATAAGAGAATCTGGGTGGCAAACCAAAGTCACTGAGTAGTATAATCCTATTGAATACACCCTGTTCCCTGGATCAAATCCATCACCAAGCAGCAGTGACTTGGTTTGCACAACATGACAATGCCAGTGATTTGTCAGCATTGTTTGTTTCAGAGTGGCTGAAAGGAGACCTTCCTCCCCCACAGGACCTCTATCATCAACAGCTCTGTAAGAAGGATTTGAGGTTACAGAGGGAGGCAGTGAAAGATAACTCATGATCATGGTCCAGCAGGACTCTCCCTGTCCCCAGGGTCACCTGTCCTTGGGGAAGGATTTTGATTACTTTAAAAGCATAGGTTAATCTTGCTACATGAGGAATAGATCTGCATTACTCAACTTAATTGACCATGAGCCAGAAGAACCGTGGACTGAAATGAGCCATTATTAGGGGTGAATGCCAAAGGACAATTCTGCTAGCAACAAGAGAGAAAAAGCCCACATGGATGGCAAACATGGAAAAGAGTTGCAAGGGACAGGCAAGAAGCAAAAGCAAAAAGTGGCAGAAATAGGGCCAAAATCTTGAGTGCAACTTTTAA